AAGAGTAAAAAATACAAAACATAGATAGACAAAAACCATACAACTTCGGGGTTGGTAACTATTTCTTAAATACAGAAAGCATGATACATGGCACTTCATTGAAATTAAAATATTTTGATCTTCAAAAAGTACTGTTAAGGGGCTGGTGAGATGGCTCAGTGGTCTACAGCACCTACTTAGAACAAGCTTAGCAAAGCACAAGGGACCGCGGTTCAATCCCCAGCACCACATGCCAGCCAGCCCCACCCCCTGGTGGGCTGAGCTGGCCACACACATTTAAAAAAAAAAAAAAAGTACTGTTAAAATTAAAGTCAAGCCATAGACTAGGAAAAAATATTTGAGACACACACTTAATTTTTAAAAACTGGAACACAGAGTATGTTTATAGAAGCAACTTAATGATTAAAAAGTGGGCAGTGGGTTCTGAGTATAGCTCAGTGGCAGAGACCTTCACCTAACAGTTTAAAAATATGTAATGGAAAAAAAAATGTAATGGGCTGAAGATATGGCTCAGTGAGGGAGCCTTTGCCTAGCATATACAAGGGCATGGGTTTGTCTCAATACTACAAAATAAAATAAAATTGGGTAAAATATTTGAAGAGATAATGGGCAAAGAAAATGTGAAAATAAGCACTTGAAAGGATGCTTAAAAGCATTATCAGAGAAATTTAAACTAGAACTCTTCTGAGGTACCAAAACTCACCTAATAGCATCAGTAAAAGTAAAAAAGGACTGGTCATATTAAATGAGATAAAGATGTGGAGCAATTGAAACTTTATACGTTTCTGATTTATACCTATTTTCAAGTATTTAAATGTTAGGACCAGCCAGATAGCTCAGCGGACTAAAGCACCTGCTTAGGCATAGCACAATGGCTAGGGTTCGTGATCCCCCGCGTGCCATGCCAGCTCCGCCCCTGGGGTGTGCTAAGACGGCAATTGATACTGGGTGTGGTGGTGTGCGCCTGTAATCCCAGCGTTTGGGAGGCTGAAAATAAGAGGATCACTACAAGTCTGATCTACGTAATGAGACCCTGTAGGCGCTGTAGACCCTGTCCTAAATGCATAAAAAGATAAAACAGTCATGTTTTACATGCAAAATATATCTCTAGATTTCTACTAATTGGAATCTATTTGTATGATACCTTGTCATTTCCTGTTTCTTTAAATGACAGTTCAAATGAATGATAGTTACAGGATTTTATTATTCTCAGAAGGCTGGTATGAAGTATAAATTAGAAGAAATCTGAAATATTCAACATACAACTACTATGAACTAGAATGTTTTGCTTATACACCTGAAATTTTATTACTTAAGCTATAACCTAGAATCATTATAATAACATAGGGCCATAATCATCTAAGCACTTAAAATATATGTGCTTTGGTGTGGGGAACTGGGGGTGTGGCTCAGTGATAGAACCCTTTTCTCCCATGCAGAAGACTGAGTTAGATACTCAGCTCTTTAAAACAAACTCCTTTTTTAGAAAAAACAAATTTTTTAAAAATAAAAATTTATTTTACTAAAGAAACTGTTTTGGAGTGTGTATAATATTGAAAAAGTTTGCTTATCCCTAAATAATGTTTCCTTATTAGTTTCTCAGATGTATGAAATTCTTGATGTACTATTTGTAGATTATTAATATCTTTGTTTTACTGAGCAATACAGAAATTAATCCTTGCCTTCTTTTTAAGTGGTCTTGGGAGTGAACTCAGAAGTGCTGTATTGTGAGCTCCTTCCCCAGACTTTATTTTAGCCTCATACTAAGTTGCCCAACCTGTCATTCAGTTTTCAGTCCTCCTTCCTTAGCTTTTTTTTTTTAAACATTTATTTATTTATTTAATTTCTTGATTTTTTTTTTTAAGGCTACCTTTCTTTCTTTATTTGTGTGTGTGTGTGTGTGTGTGTGTGTGTGTGGCCAGCTCAGCCCACCAGGGGGCAGGGTTGGCTGTGGCATGTGGTGCTGGGGGATTGAACCGCGGTTCCTGTGCTTTGCTAAGCTTGTTCTAAATAGGTGCTTTAGACCACTGAGCCATCTCACCAGCCCCTTTCCTTCGCTTTTGTAGTAGCTGCAATTATAGATGTGTGGTAGTGTACCTGGCTGATCTTTGCTTTTAATCATTTGGCTTTAATTTATAGGACTAGGCTAACCTAAGGAAAACAAAAATTTGCGGCAAGATTATAAGCACTATACCAGCCCGCATATACATTTGATGATATAAACCTTTTTCCAGGATAGGGGCTGTGAAGACTATTGAACCAGAGACCTATGGGATACTTCCCATTAGAAAAATTTTCAACAGGAGAACAAAAGGCTTTAGACTTAAAAATATGTATGTCATTAGATCTTTGCTTGAAATATTGCTCAATAATATAAAATAAGAAGAATTACATGTAAATCAGAACAATGAGGTAGTTTTAGAACACTTAAATAAAGGCTGGCCAAATAGCTCAGTGGATTAAAGTGCCTGCAAGCGGGCACAGGGGCCCTGGGTTTGATCCCTGGACCTGCTGTGCTGGCCACACCCACAGGGCGCAGTAAGACTGGGCATGATGGCGTGCCTATAATCCCATCTCTTGGGAGGCTGTAAACAGGTGGATCACTGTGAGTCTGATCTAGTAGTGATACCCTGAACACCCTGTAGACCCATCCCTAAAATACAAAACAAAAAACAGAAAAGAACATTTAAATAAATTGCCCTTTTTAGATTTTAGCAACCTGAGGAATGAGTTATGTTCTAATTTAGATAATCAGTTTGCTAATTTCAATGCCATCCAACTGTGGTGGTGCCTATCTGTAATCCTGCACTCAGGAGGTTGAAACAGGAGGGTAGTGGCAGGTTCAAGGCCAGCCTAGCTGCATAGTAAGTTCAAGGTCAGCCTGAACTCTCTGAAAATACACCAAAATTGTAATACCAACCTACATGAATTAATCTATTCTTTGTAGCTCTTTTAGAAGACTTATTTAGTAACATTAAAGGATAGTTTAATATTCTTACAAAACATAGCAGACCTCATTAAATGAAGTAAGAAAGATTTCTTATACACAAAAAGCAGTATTATATTATACATGTAGTTGTATCACAGTAAAGTGCTTAAGTAATCTACTCTTTGATTATGTATATGCACAAATAAAGATTAGGGTTGTTTTGTTTTGTTTTGTTTTTGTTTTGGCAGAACCAGGGATTGAACTCAGGCCCTTGCGCTTGCCAGGCAAGCCCTTATTCTACTGAGCTATCTCTCCAGCCCCCAAAAGAAGAGTTTTAAAAATTCTTTAATTTGGGGACTTTTCATGATTGAAACAGTCAAGTTAATGGCATATTTGGTGCATATTAATTGAATAAAATCATGTACTAGCATTGCTTGAGATACTAATAGTTCCTCTGTTTTATTCCTTAAGCATATGTTCAGAAATACTTTATATCCGTGGGTGGACTGGATATACTGTCTCAAGCTCTTGTACAACTGGAATCTGATTCACACAAGACTCCTTCCAGTGCTAAGCTTGCAGTAGTGGTAACAAAGACAATGGATGCATGTATTGCTGATAATCGTGAGTGAAAAATTCTTTTTTTTTTTTTCTTTTTTAATGTATTTAGTACAGGTTCTACAGGGTCTCACTACACAAATCAGACTCATAGTGATCCTCCTGTGCTGAGCCTCCCTAGTGCTGGGATTACAAGTGCATGCCACCACGCCCAGTCTCAGTCGCTGTCTCAGCATGCCCCAGGGGTGGGACCCAGATTAGCATGCTGGGGATTGACCCTCAGTCTCTGTGTCTGCCTAAGCAGGCACTTTAATCTGCTGTGCTATCTAGCTGGTCCATGAGTAAAATATTCTTGTTAGCAAGTTTTCTGAAATTGAATTTTGTTTGAGTTCAGCATGGTGAGTGTTGAAATGGAAGATTAAACACTAACATAGATTAGATAGCTTCTCAACAAGTAGAAAGGAACTTTAGCAATTATCTAGTCTAATTTTTTTTCATAGAAATTTTAACTTTTCTCAGAGTTCATATCTAGGCCTTCTGACTCCAAATCTAATGATAGTCTATAAATCTTTGTAATAGAAGACTATTGACCATGGCAACTAACTGAAAAAGTAGTATTTAAAAAACAGCAATGATACAGCAATTAACCACTAAGAAGAATATATGCAGTGTATTATTTGTTGAAAAAAAAATAAAATAAACCAAAAAAATAAATAAATAAATAAATAAAAATAAAACATTTTAAAAAAAAAAACAAACAGCAATGGAGTATGTGTTATATGCTTAGCTCCAGAGATAGAAAATTTACTAAGACATAGTCCCTTGGGGAATTCACAGCCTTATCCTTGGCACGAGTATTGTTAGGCTCTGGGTAAACTCTAGTAAAAAAAAAAAGACCCATCATGAAATCTTCAATTTTATCACCTGTGAGTATAAATTCAATTATGTTTCATTGCATCTTTAATGTCAGTAGAAGCCGAGCATGAAGGCACATGCCTGTAAATCCCAGCACTCAGAGGCTGAGGCAGGAGGATTACCATGAGTTTGAGGCCAGCCTGGGATACATGGTGAGACCCTATCTCAAGACAAACAAACAAGAAAAAAATCAAAACAAGAGAAACAACATCAGTAGACCCATGGTCAGTTAAGAGAATATTTTATTATTAGGCAGGATTTGATTATGTAGATATATCTTTGCTACTAGTGTCCAGCGTGGGTAAGAAGAGATGTGTAAGATAAAAGTAGATATTCACCCTTTAGGAAGATATTATTACTTTGTATTTACAATATTATGCAGAACAACTAAAACTTTGTGTTGGATTAATAAGGATTATTATAATAATCCTTACTATGATGAGTTTATATAAACACATGGAGTCACATATATTAGATGTTATATGTACATATTAGGTATTATATATATAATCTTACTGGAGAAGTTCTGAAAAACATTTATGTACATTTACAAGTTTTAAATTTGTACTTTTTTATTTTATACTAATAGCTACTTCTGGAGTGGTACTGTCTAAATACTGCATTGTTTCAAAACTTCTGGCATTACTGTCTCATGAAAGCCTGGATTCAGCAGAAAGATTTAGCATCATTCTTGCTCTTGGTCACTGCACAGAGGATTGTGGTTAAGTATTGATTTATGTAGTGTGCTTATTAAAACAGTAGTGAAAATACGTTTGTTTTTCCCCCTATAGTCATATAAAAAGCTTAAAATACTTCTCACAGTCATTTGGGCCCAGCTGGTTACTTTAATTCCACATCCTCCTCCACCCATTGTATTCACTTGGCCATTAAGACCTGTGGTTCTACTGCTGATGCCCCTTTCCTATCCATTGCCAATGTTATCTTCTTAATTTAGGCCCTCAGCCACGCCAGGTCTCAGTGGCTGGCTCAGCATGCCCAAGTGCAGTGCCAGCATGGAATGTGGTGCCAGGCATGGAACCTGGGTCCCTGCTCTTGCCTGAGCAGGTGCTTAGTCCACTGAGCTATCCTGCTGTCCCTCCTTCTCTTCCTCCTCCCCCTCCTTCCCTTCTTGCTCCCATCTCTTCCGTTCTCTTCCCCCTCCCCATCTCCTTACTATTCCCCCTTCCTTTTTTTATTCATTGTTTTTCCTTTTCTTTTGAGATAGGGTCTGGCTATATAGTGCATGCTGCCCTGGAATCCACTGTGTAGACCAGGCTGGCCTTGTGCTCAGCAGCATTTCTCCTGTCTCAGTCTCCTGAGTTTTGGGATTACAGGCATGTGCTACCGCATGTGGTTGCTCTACATTTTTTCAAAACAAGTGAGAGTAGTTTGTTTACTCTTAATGAGATATGATACTAATCTGGCTACATCTCAGAAATTATTTTTTTATTTGTAAAAATTTAAACTATGTTTGTTTAAAGTGTTTATTATACTAAGAAAGAACTATTGCCTCATCTATTGAGTTTATTTTAAAACAGTTGTCTTCTACTTTAATTTTTGATATGTTTTCCAGAGGAAAATCAGTATGACCTTTTTAAAAACAATGGACTTCCACTCATGATACAGGCTTTAACTGAATCTCAGAATGAGGAACTAAACAAAGCTGCCACTTTTGTGCTTCACAACTGCAAAAAGATTAGTAAGTGTACAGTTATATAAGAAAATAGCAACTGACATTTGTAAAAACAATTTTTATCTGTTTTGGTGAGCAATACCCTTTTAGCCTCCAGGTTCTTGTACTTGAAAAACAGAATATATAATTTGGTTGTAAAATCTAGGATACTTTCAGCATATACAGTCCTATCCAGAAGAGAGCAACAATAGAGATAGTTCACTTATTTTATTCCACATAGCCAAATTTAGTTTGTAATCATAATAGAGGTAGCCAGGGGTGGTGGCACAAGCCTGTAATTCCAGCACTCGGGAGGCAGAGGCAGGAAGATCGTTGTAAGTTCAAGACCAGCCTACACTAAAATGTGAGTTTAAGGCCAGCTTGCATAGTGAGACCCTGTCTCAGTAAGACTGAAAAAACAATCATAATATAGAAGATACTCATTTATTTAAAATATGCTAAAATATCCAGGGACATAGCTCAGTGACATAAGCATATGCCTGGCAAGCACAAGGTCCCAAGTTCCATCCCTGGTTCCACAAAAAAAATCCTAAAATGTCTGTTATGTGCTAGCCACTGCTGGGCAACTGGAGATACAGTGATAAGAAAAGCACAGCCTCTTTTGAGTCCTCCTTTCCAAGATGACAAAAGAAGGAACAACGGTCGTGCCAGAAAGGGCCGTGGTCATGTGCAGCCTATTCGCTGCACAAACTGCGCCCGGTGCGTACCCAAGGATAAGGCTATTAAGAAGTTTGTCATTCGGAACAAAGTGGAGGCCGTCACCATCAGGGACATTTCCAAAGCAAGTGTCTTTGGTGGTTATGTGCTTCCCAAGCTGTATGTGAAGCTGCATTATTGTGTGAGTTGTGCCATTCACAGCAAAGTGGTCAGAAATCGATCTCGTGAAGCCCGTAAGTACTGAACTCCTCCACCCCGATTTAGACCTGCTGATGCTGCACCACGACCTCCACCAAAGCCCATGTAAGGGGAGCTGGGTCTTAATGGACTGAAGAAAACTCTCTTGAGAAAGAAGTAATAAATTGAATGTTATACTTTATACAGCATATTGAGTACACCTGCCAGAGGTAGATTGGTTTAATTCAGCCTATCCAGATTTAAGTTTGTACTCTGAAAATGAATAAAGAGGAACACACTGGAAGGGGTTTCAGGAGCATAAAAAAGAAAAGAAAAGAAAAACACAATATGGGTACTCAGTGCTTAGTTTACATAAAAAGCAATATAAAAATTTTTTGTAAATGAGATCATATATTAATATAAATTGGCTTGAGGAAAGCTAAGATGCTAGGGTATACTTGTATTCCTAGCACTTGAGAGGCTGAGTCAGGAGAATCAAAAGTTTGAGTACATCCAGAGCTACATAGCAAGTTCAAGGCTTGCTTGGACTACATCGTGAGTCCCTGTCTCAAAAAAGCAAAATAGGGACCGGGGAGATCATGCAATAGAATAAGTGCTTGCCTGGCAGGCACAAAGCCCTGAGTTCAATCCCCAGTACCTCAAAAAAAAAAAAAAAAGCTGGGAATGGTGGCACAAGCCTATAATCCCAGCATTTGGGAGGCTGAGGCAGGAGGATTGTGAGTTTGAGACCAGCCTGGACTACAAAGTGCGCTTAAGGCTAGTCCTGAATTCTGTAGTGAGACCACGTCTCAAAAAGAACAACAAAAAAAGCAAAACAACGACAGAAAGACATAAGGGTTGTGAAGAGATGGACCGTGATGATTGAGAGTTTATAATAAAGGAATCAGACCTACACTTAAACATCTTTGGAAGAAAGTAATTTTTGAGCTGAGGTCTGAATGACAAGGCAAAAAGAAGGAAATTTATTATGGATGAGGTCTCAGGCCTAAGCAACAGCGAGGGCAGTCTTTGGTAGGAAGGAACATAGTGCATTCAGAGAACTGATGACTAGGGTGGCGGAAGCACAGAGGGCACAGCCATTATGAGGATTGTTGTCTTTGTGGAAGAAAATTTTGGATATAATGTATTTTTTAAAAGATATAGAGGGGCCAGGGAGATGGCTCAGTGGAATAAGTACTTCCCTAGCAAGTGCAAGGGCCTGAGTTCAATCCCCGGTTCCGCCAAAAAAAAGAAAAGATATAGGAAAGAACTATTTTCTGAATACTGTTTTTAGAAATAACTACTTTGGAGCTAGAGATGTTATAGTGATAGAGCACATGCTTACCATGTGTGGGTCCCTGGGCTCAGTCCCTTGCATTAAAACAACCAAATACCCTACTTTAAACCAATATCCATATTCCTGAGGGTCTTTGTGTGTTCTGAATAACATATTTTCATGTTATTCTTTTTTCTTGTAACTCTGAAAAATCTAATTTATGACATTTTCAGTCCTGGGCTTCTCTTGAGTACTCATTCCATTACTTTGAGTACACTTAAAATAACCTAGATGGACAGTTTGGACAAGGGGTGAGAGGTGGAGCATGAGGTTGAAATGTAATATTTCTAGTAATGTATAAACCCATCATATTTCCTCCATATTACAAAGGTGAAAAATTATCTCTAAGTCTAGGAGACTATTCTTTTAATGAAAATGAAGCAGAACAATTAAAGGACATTAATGTAACAGAAAAGAATCTTGAAGAGCACTGGAAGACAGCAAAAGAAATCCTGCACAGAATAGACCTGCTTGAAAGAGAAGAAAATGAGGTTGGATTCTTTGTTTTAGAGAATATATACTTTTTCCAATGTTATTAGCATTAGAGATTAAACCGTAAAATTTTTTCTTCCTGAGTTTTTTTTTTTTTTTTCCAATATTTATTTTGTGTTTGTGTGTGGCCAGCTCAGCCAACCAGGGGGCAGGGCTGGCTGGCATGTGGTGCTGGGGAATCGAACAGAGGTCCCTGCGCTTTGCTTAGCGTAGCTTGTTCTCAGTAGGTGCTTTAGAACACTGAGCCATCTCACCAGCCCGAGTTATTTTTTAAATGTAGATTTTAATAGTAATACTTGAGAAAATATCCTTAGGCATAGACCAAAAAATGTTTTTAAAGCAGAAATAATAACTGTAATGATGAAATATAAAGGCACCATGAGATCCAGCATCTTAATAGTAGAAGTTCAAGATGGAGAAGAAATAGTCTAATGATACATGTCCACCTACCCAACCCCAAATACACACACACAGATGCACACACGTACACACTAGTAAGTACTTAGCAGACATAATCATATGTCACTTGATAGAGATACAACATAGAAAATGCCTCACAATAGCCATGCATGGTGGCACACACCTGTACTCCCAGTACTCGGGAGTCTGAGGCAAGAGGATTACCACAAGTTCTAGGACATCTGAGGCTATATAGTTAAGGGGCAACCTGAACTATACAGCAAGACCCTATCTCATAAAACAAAACAAAAGAAATGCATCACAAGACAGTTTCATCATTGTGAGAACATCAAAATGTCATTACACCATACAGTTACTTGATTTGCCCTTTGATGCAATCAGGGACACACAGGAGAGCCAGTTGTGGTGGCACACACTTGTAATTCCAGCACTGGGAGGCTGAGGCAAGAACATTTCAACTTAAAGAGTCCAGCTTGAGAAATATACTGAGACTCTATCTATCTATCTATCTATCTATCTGTATATTTTAAGATTTTATTTTATTTTATTTTACTTTAGCTATTTATTATAAAAGTTAAAGAGGACATTGGGGTGTGGAACTTCCAAGGCCACCACCCTCCGGGAACCTTCATATCCTTGGTCATTGGAAAATAATAAAAATTTAAAAAGGGCTGGGATTGTGCAAAAGACCTAGATTCAATGGCTGCACTGAAGAAAAAATAGATACAGTAAATTTAAAATGTATGAGGATGCTACTAATCTAAAACAGCATACTGTTTTTTAATTTATTTTTTAATGTATTTTAGGGAAGGGTCTACAGGGTGTTCAGGATCTCACTACTAGATCAGACTCCTAGTGATTCTGCTGTTTATAGCCTTCCAAGTGCTGGGATTACAGGTGTGCACCATCATGCCCAGTCTCAATCGCCATCTCAGCGTGCCCCAGGGCTGGCACGGCAGGCCCAGGGATTGAACCCCCTGTCCCTGAACCTGCTTGAAGGTGCTCTAATCCACTGAGCTATTTGGCCGGCCCAGCATACTATTTTATAGTAAACTTTTTAATAAGTAGAAGGAATATATTCCAAAATAATCAAAAGAAAAAATGTAAATCAGTAACACAAGTCATTTGTTATCATTATCAAGTAGTATGTACTACACATAACCACCTGATATAGCTAGCAATGCCATAATTTGTCTATGGTACTTTACTACAAACACATGAGTAATACATTGTGTTACAATGGTGTGATGGGTACAGTGTTGCCAGGTAATACAAACAGGTTACAATTTTATGGGCACCACTGTCACATATAGTCTGTTAGCAAGTAAAACATCACTGTGTGGCTCATAACTGTACATATGCATTAGTATTTTTTCTGTATGTATATACTTTGTGTCTTATGTGTCCATGTAGAGCAGTGGCTGCCAGAGGCGGGGGCTGATGGTTATACAACATTGTGAATGTCCTTAATATCACAAAAATGTACACTTAAAAATGGTTAAAATGGAGGGCTGGACTGATAACTCAGTGGATTAAAACACTGCTTAGGCAAACTCAAGGGCTGGGATTTGATCCCTGGTGTGCCATGCCAGCCCTACTCCTGGGCATGCTGAGACGATGAATGAGACTGGGCGTAGTGGCGCACAACTATAATCCCAGTGCTTGGGAGGCTGGAAAACAGAATCATTACAAGTCTGATCTACGTAGTGAGACCCTGTAGACCCTGTACTAATTAAAAAAAAAAAAAAAGATTAAAATGGAAATTCGCATGGTATGTGTATTTTATATAATTGATAATGCATTCAACATGCAGTCATGTGTTCAACATAACAATTGAACATTAAAAAGAAATAACAATTGAACATTATATTGAAGACTTAGTAGTAACCAACATTGTAGATGTGCTATAATCAGTACTTTATTAATTTAGGTTATATTTAATATAACCTATTTAGGTAAATAGGTTAACCTATTTAATATATTTACCAGTTAAAAAACTAAATTCCTGCTATATGCATGTATGCATATGAATATATATTTGAATACATACATTTTATAATGGCCTTATTGAGATATAATCCATGTCGTACCACTTAAAATATATGATTCATAGGTTTTTGTATACTCAGAAAATTATGCAGCTACCAGTATAGTGAGTTTTAGAACATATTCACCACCCCAAGAGGAAACTCATTTTTTGTACTCCCCAGCAACCATTGATCTATTTTCTGTTTCTGTAAATTTGCCTGCTCTGAATCTTTCATAAAAATGGAATCATAATGGTCTTTTTTGAGTGGCTTTTCCATTGTTTTCAAGGTTTATTCAATTGTATATATTAGTACTTAGGTCTTTTTTTAAAAAAAATAGCATCATTAAGATGTAATTCATATATCATATAATTTACCCATTAGTGATGTACTGTTGTATGTTACGGGTTGGTGCCGAAAAAAACAACGAGGAGAAGACCTGATGAATGTAGCTTCAGAGGTCTCACTGAGATTAGTTTCTCTCAAAGTGAGCCCAGAGCCTCAGAAGCATCTTACATTTATTGAGGGGTAAAGGCAGGCTAAGGAATGTGCATAATTACTTAAGTGAATACAAACTACTATCTCTGTTGACTTCCACCATTTACCTTACACTAGGCTGACATACATGCTAGCCGATAACATCCCAAGCAAGGGATCAAAGGACAGGGCCCCTGCAGGAGAAGCTGTTATCTGCAGCCTTGGGTCCCAGCTTTCCGGGAATTTGCAAACAGACAGCAACTCTCCTCGGGCTCTGTCTATTGTTCCCTGCTCTCTTGGGACATCAGGATTTTGTCTCAAATCTGTATTTCTACAATGTACAATGAAGTATGTTTAGCTGACTATATTATGATACATTTAAATTGTGATAAATATATATAACATAAAATTTTCCATTTTAACCACTTTTTTTTTTTTGGAGACCAAATCACTTTATTGGGGGGCTTGGGAGTGGGGAAAAGCTGCCGAAAAGCCGCTTCACGCGAGATCTGACATTCCTGGCACGGCTGGATCTCTCCGGGTCCACCGTGGCCAAGAGTTTAACCACTTTTAAATATGCAACTCCAAGCACTAAGAACATTCACAGTGTTGTGCAGCCATTAACCCTACCTCCTGCAAACCTCTAATCTACTTTTTGTTTCTAAATTTTTTTTTTTTTTTTTTGCGGTACCAGGGATTGAACTTGGGACCCTTCACTTGCCAGGCAAGTGCATATTCTACTGAGCTGTCTCCCTGGCCCTCTAAATATTTTTTTATAAATGGAACCATAGCATATGTAGCTTAGCGAGGCATATTGGTACATGGAAGGCTCAATCAGGAGGAGGATCACAAGCCCAGCCTAGACCTCTTGATGGGATCCTGTCAAATACATACATACAATTAATTTTTTAAAAGAAGAGAAAATTTTTAATTTTATTTTAAAGAGGAAAGAAACAGAAACAAATAACAAAGACAAAGCACCATGAGACAAAGTGGTACAGAGTTTTAAGACAAGAGCAGGAAATTAACAAATAGTTGTTGTATTACACATTTTTATCATCAAATTTGCTTTTTAATTCTTTCATGTATTTTGTAGAGTCTCACTATGCAGCTCAGATTCATAGTGATCCTCCTGTTTTTAACCCTCCCGTGCTGAGATTACAGGCATGTGCCATCACACCCATTCATGCAGGCCCTGGGGCAGGGCCCGCATGGCATGTGGTACCAGGGTTCAAACCCTGGTCCCTACCCTTGCCTTGTTGCTCAGACTACCAGATATAGGCATGTAAGATTGATCAAATAGTTAAAGCATTAATTCTTCCTTTCCATTAATCTTGAATTTTTTTGTCCTTTTTATTTTTAAAATTTATTTTAAAGTGAGTATAATAATACATATTAGAAATGTCTTATCTTTTAAAAAACAAAAAAAATTAGAAAAAACAAAAATAAGATGAAAGGTATTGAATGGTAAGAAAAAATTATAAAAGGTCTGAGGATGTAACTCAGTGTTGAGGCAGGCATGGGGTTCCGGCAGGTTTTTTTTTTTTTTTTTTTATTGCCGAACTGGGGATTGAACTCAGATCCTTGCGTTTGCCAGTCAAGCGCTCATCCTACTGAGCCATCTCCCGGCCCTTCCGTCAGGTTTTTGTGTATTTTTTTTTTTTTGGCTGCAGTATTCTCATTCTCTTAATACAGTTTAAAACTTTCATAGCCTCAGAAAAGGAACAAAAATTTATATAAAAACAACAAAGGGCTACCTGTGAAATAAATCACAAAAGCATTGAATATTTTTAACACTAGTCCCCATTATCATACAAGAGATGAGCTGGTTCCTCATACTTAAAAATCTGTGACACTGGTACTACAAACATTTTCCTAATACATCATGTTAAAAAATAGGTTTTGAATTTGTGTTGTTGGTGGGTGAAGTGAAAGGTTTCTACTAATTGTTGCAAACATGCTCTTCAATTCCAATTTTAGTTTCATTACTTCATCCTTTTGAGTGGCTGTCTTCATCTCCTGCAGCCCTGGTATACCTTGGAAGTTGCTGTATGTATGCACTTGTAGTATGTGCTGCTTTATCTTGTCCTCCCGATCTGCTGCCACTTGGGAGGCACTTATTTCTTCACTTGCCTAAGATGAGCTCTCTTTGTTGTGTTTCATTTTGCCACGTGGACTCATTGGTATCTTCCCATGATCTAGCGGATGTGTAGTACATGGAATCTTTGGAATCATGTCCCTCAGTGAAGGCAAGAGCTGGCTGAGTTCCTCCTCCTCCTTCAGCATCTGGGCCTGCTCTCTCCACTCCTGCAGGGCTCTTTTGTCTTTCTGCTGCTCCATCAGACCCTGTTTTTCTTGATGTTCTCTGAGGGCTGCTAATCGACATTCTTCAAGTCCTTTTGTTGGAATCATTGTTTGGTACAAAGATTAGGTAAGATGTTCTTGAAGGAGGAGGGCGTCTTCCTTCTGAACATGTGTCTTGGCCTTGAGTCTTCTTTCTCCTTCATGTTTAGTGCTACCTTGATATTTGGAGGAAACTCAGTGTGTAAGAGCTAGTTTTTAAGAATCTCTGCTTTTTCATTTTCAACAGTTTGCTGCTTCAGCTTCCAGAAGCACTTGATTTGCTTCTCACTTGGCTACTGTTCTGGGAATTCTATGGATCTTCTGAGCTCACTCAGGTCTAATCTTTCAACTGTCGGGGGGAAGGTCCACTTTTTCTTTTATCATAGCCGCCTTTGGGTCCTGAGCATTCATGATTTCTCTAGTAGATACCCTATACTTTGATAAATCTTGCATGAGATGTAGAAGCTCACTTAGGCCCCTGTTTTTGACAGATGAGCTTTCTTGAGAAGCTGCATCCTTAGGGAGGCCATACTCTGCTGTACAGAAGTGTAGGAAGATCAGGATGGCTTCCAGTCAGCTGAAATTACAGGGGTCAGTATCTTAAGTTCCATGCTCTTTGTAAGTGTGCCTAGGTTTTTCAGCTCCATGGGTAACATTTTGATTCTTTGTACAAGCAGTTTTTAAATGCTTGTGAGATCCAATCCCAGAAGGAAGTGCCTTAATTTTATTAATTAAATAA